TGATTAGCGCTAATCAAGAAACTTGAATCTTACAGTAGCAAGCTTTAGTGTTAAGAAGATTCATTTGCAACTAGGTAGTTTTACTTTGAATATAAATTTCATTTACCACGTTCACAAAATTATCATTTCGATAGTATATTAATACAAGAAATGAGATAGTAAACAGTTGTCAATTTTAATAGAAAATCTATGGGTTCTAATTAGCGTGTGTGTATAATTGGCTTGTAATTATTATTAATTAACGCAAACACTCGGACCAACTTCCTCACACGCAGAGCCTCAAGCGTGTCTGCACATCTCCACTCACGGATACTGGCGGACGGTGAGAGTCGTACCCGTTTTTCTGGTTTTTAATCGCTCGAGTTAAAAGCACCGTACTACGATTTCATTCAGTAACGAAGCCATAATGAAATTTAGGTTTTCTAGATTAATCTTTCGAACCCACTCTCACACGTTTTACAGCCCGATTGCGTGTTGCTTGCTCACCTAAGCTCTGTGCGCAGTCAGATACATTTTAAAGTAGACCGTGCTAAACAAACAAAGTAAATTTATTCAAGGAGACGACATCTGTTGAATCTGTTGTGTTCATTCGTCAGGAGATGTCACAATGGTGCATAATGTTATAATTTGATTTGGTTGTGGCTCACAATTTGTGAGAAAATGTTTTGACATAACCTTTATTTCATTGGTTAAAAATAACCCAAAGTGCAAACATTAAAATTTTTCGTTTTTCACTCATGTCCTTGGATACAACGCGTAAATTGTATAAAAGTTGAATGAAATGCATGATGACAATGATAAACAAACGTAGATATTCGTTTCCTTCGTTGGTTGCTGGGTTCGTTAAGCCCTTGTCCATGTTCTGCGTTGCGGTTGTTATTCTCTTCATTGAGAAGCGTGCTAGAGGATTGACCACGACTACGAATGTGTCTACCTGGTGCGGGTAGAAACGCATTTGACCGTGTGGGACGATGCGACGAACGGTTGGTGCCCGTCCCGCTTGAGCGTGTTGTTCGAAACTCATTACTACAACCACTTGTCCACACAATTAAAATATATAATCGCTCCTCGAACGATTTATATTATCGATGGCCGATTAATGGTGGCTTTATGCGACGTTTATACTGTAACATTTCAACAAGTCGGGCGTAGCCAAGCCGCAGGAAGACATATGACTGCTTTAACGATGTGCTCACTATAAATAATATCGTTTTGTTGTACCTGACCAACAAATTTTCAATGATCAACATGTTTATGTATCAGCATGTCGAATACAGCTTGCGTGATCGTGGTCTGCGTGCAAAAAACAACTAAATATACGCGATTTTAATCGAAGATTAGAGAGAATCAATAAAAGAAACCAACATATGAAACGCGAGACACGAGCAGCAAAAACACGCGTAGAAATAAAAATAAAAATAGTTTTCTATGGTCGGTAACATTTCTAGTTGTGGCCAACATTTCTCAAGATTTTTTCTCACATGATTATGCCATTCTTTCGCGTGATCTATTACAACAAATTATGCAATAATAAAATTCAGTATAAATTATTGGCGTCATTAACATAATTATATATGTTTATTTGCAAATATGGCGTATTAATATTCAGTGTTTGGCCTGTTTGTAATTTGTGTTCTGTGTTTTTCATAATTTTTATAAATGAACGCTAATGGCTCGTTGGAATGTAAATCAAATTGATAATAAAATGTTAATAAACGCTAATTCTAATTATTCGACATAAAATCTTTTATATTCGGACTACTAATAAATTTGAGAATTTCAAAGAAAGAGTAAATTTTTTAAGTACCTAAATATAAAAAAAAGTTTATTGTGTCTATTATTTTACTATCCATTTGATTGCACCTTGATTTGTTTGACGGACGGCGCATGTATTTCATATGGTTTTGTGCTGCACCGTAGGAAAATGCGCAGGCGCAAGCTGCAACCCGTGCCTAAAGTAATTTAGTTACGGCCTTGGACATCAGTGTTTAAAGTACCACTTTTCATATTAATTATAGATGTTCTAAGAGTAACATTTCAGAAACAGTGTAGTAATAATATTTTGTTGCATTTGTCAAAAGCTATAGTAGTTAATTATTTTAAAAAAATTACGAAATTTGTCATATGGTGCATGAAAAATAAATGACTTGGTGGTGAACTTGCCGCAAACAAATTTCTATTGTGGCTGAAGTGACCGTGATGCGTTGCAATAAATTGATCGCATTGTGTGCAAAGCGTCGCTGCCTGCTCTGGGAAAACTCAAACGCTGTTTGTCATTATAGAATATTATACGTATTAAATCACGTTGTAGCCGGTGCACCAAGCGCACAAGTATTGTGTGACTTTCGGGTGTTTTGTGAGTGTCAGCGTGCACCCGCATACATTGTGTATCCATAACATTTCCATTAAAACCTAATGATATATATCAAAAGTGTCGTAACATTCGGGGCACTTCGTTGCGAAGCGTCGCGGCGTGCCAGCGTTTGTATCGATAGAGAACGTATCGAGAATCGAGGGGGATGAACGAGCTATAAGCACTCGTCGTCAACACATATATCATCCAAGCGAACCAACTCGATCTGACTTTTTATGTAAAAGCACCCACCACTCTCTAGCAAGAGAGTATGCAATGCCGCTTGTGCGCCGCACGATACAGTTTAGTCAGAGAAAATGCTAAATATCTTAAACAACACTAAATTTACAAAGCATAAACAGAGAGATACATCTGTAGATAATCGTGACAAAGGTTGTAGTTAGTCAAACAATAAGTAGTCGCAGTCGAAAAATGCCATAAATAACTCTGCAAGTGGCCCAAGAGTTGCCATGAGAGGCTTGGGATGCACTTGGAGTTGAGTCCGCGTGCCCCTCTTCACGGTCCGATCCCGTGCAAAGACTCCCTGCGTGTTGGTGTATGTGACACGAATGTGCTCGAGCTGAAAACGTGTTGCGAGTGAAATACTTTTGGTACTCACAACGAGTGGTGGCCTGAAACCTCACACAAAACTCACAACGCCATTATCCTTCTCGTAGCCCTGTGCCGATGTAAAGTATTATGTATGTATGTGAGCGCGTTTACTCCGCGTGTAACTGATACAGATCTCGCTTGTTCTTGTTTTCTTGTTTCCTACCTTTCTCTCGTTTTGGCTGTGGCATTGCTTGGGCGCTGGGCCGTTTGCTGAGCGCCTTGTTTGCTCGTCGGCTCGTTGGCGCTGCTTATTTGCTGTTTATACCCCATTTTGTTATATCTACTCCGGGCGCACGCTTAGTTCATTTCGGGGGTGTTTTTGGTCGACTGTATGGTTTGACTTTCAGCGCGGTATTCACAGCTTAATTTGAATATATGTTAATTTCGAGGATGTATTTTCCGTTCAAAATTTATTGTTCGACGTTTAACTGTGCCCACTCTTGCGACTTTCCCGTGTACGTAAGGGCTCGACACCATCGTAATGGGGTGTTGACACGAGCTTGTCATACGCGCCGCGCGAACACGGAAAGGTTAATCTCAAATGAATTTTTCTTTCTCTCGCTAAACATTGCCCGTCGTTGTCGAGTCGCATGTGATATCGCCCTGTTATAACGGGTGCTTATCGCTTCTTGCATTGCAACAGGCCCCGAAGGTAATTTATTGACAAACTCGGAATATTTAATAAGTTTGTATCAAATCGTATCAAACACATTGCTAACAACAGTAGAAGCAAAAGTAGAAGCAAGAAAACCTATTAAACTTTGGGAGACAGAATTAAATATATGCACTAATCGGTACGAATTGATGGGCTTGTCGGGATTGAAGTGTATAATCACTAATTTGGATTAAATTATCTTCACAACCATCCACATATCGTGGAAATTCTTATGCATGGTTATGTTTAGTGACTATGTCGATAACATTTATGCAACCCAGTTTTCCAATTACATGCCTAAACCCAATTTGTCAATATGTTCTCTCTCTCTCTCTCAAATATCGTTCCACTAACTTTAAATATTTGACTATAACCAACTCCAGCGCAGCGGAGAACGATTAATCTAAAATTGACCAATCTATTGCAGCCTGTATGAAAACGTTTATATTATCTTCATTATTCACGCCGAATCAAAACGCTGCGCACTTTGGCACACAAAAGCGAACGTATTATAAGCACATTGTACTCGTAGATACCGATCCGATTGTAATTTTATTTATATGCAATGAATATTTACGAATACCTGTGCACCATGGGTGTGGAGTGAGTACCCGAGACGCAACACCCTGTAATCTCATCTTGCTTTCACCAAGTTATCAAGTACGCGGAATTAAGCAATTTGTTCTTGCGCAACACAGTGAAACGACCGTCATAAGCATAAGTTATTTGCATCAATCATTCGGCATCTAACAGAAAACCTCACAGCGCTGACCCGATGGTGTGGCTGAGGTCTTAGCAAAAAATATCTCTTGGAAAGAATGTATTTTAAGTGAGTGTGAGGCTTGTTTCTTTCGTTTTTCGGCTGTTTTAAAACACCGCCGAGCGGAGATTCCAAGAGTATTTGACGTCGAGTCGCGCTCCATCGCTCTGAAATGTTCAAAGTGTTAAAATCGAATTCAATAAATTCCATTAGATCCCATCAACACATAGCGCAGCGGCCGCAGATCAGACGGAAAGCGCGCTTTTTATACCTTCTGCAGAAAGAAGGCCGTACGCGGCACATATTTTTTGGAAGTGTTTTTAAATTGACCGCATGAATAATTCATCCTTGTCGCAATGTGTCGTCCTCTTTGCTCATGCCGGGACACTGCTGAGACGTTTTTTCTCAAATAGTAAATCTTCTTCACACATCGCCAAGCGTGCGACGAACGCATGTAACATTTATGATCGTTTAATAATTTACCAATTTTATTTTGTGCTCATGTATGCAATGTACAAGATTACTCACAACTCCCACCATGGTTGATGACGAAAAGCGGGTGGCATGTGCCTAGGTTGGATAAATGGACTGCGGTAAGGAGATTATCGATAGGTTACGCATTTCATTGTGCTACATGTTTATTCTTTAAAATTGGATGATAGTGAAGAAAAATTAAACCACAATATAATTGTATAGTCTCTGTTAATGATTTAATTAAGACAATCATAATTATTTATAATAATATACTTCTATTCACACTGATTCCTATTTACAAACAAATAAAGTTAAGAAATGTACATTTTTGTAAAGGGGCCTGTAAGGTTTTGTTTCAGTTTTTTTTTTTGCACATGGCTCCCGTAATTTATTATGAACCGAACAAATTGGTTTATAATAAGAATTAATTAAAATAGAATGTAAAGTCGTAATAGAAATTCTCTTCTTCCTCACGCATTGATATGGTCTCTTTATACACAACAATTTCTCTAAGATAATATAATCCATAATCGATATAATAAAATAACAATTTAATTAATCGTTAAGAGGTGTGATGCACACACAACAGGTTTCCAAACAAAGGTGCGTGCGTTTTTGTATTGTTTCCTTTTTCTGTTCAATTCGTATTCTCCGTTATTCATAGTATACCCAAACAATTTTAAATTAAAACCAAATATATTTTTACTTATCGAAATTTTCATTTTGTAGTAGTATGTATAATGTTTCTTATAATTTTTGGTATTGTTCCAAAAATGAATACCTTTTTTCAGAAAAACACCTAGTCGTAGTTTGTGGACATAATTTTGTTCGTTATCACAGATATAAATAAATGCATTTACACAAAATATACAACAGATTGCACACGAGTCTCTCGGTATTATGGTTTTCCGTTTCGCACTCTCACACGATTATAATTTAACTATTTTTTATAATTTCTTCGATTTGTTGCACTTTGCCCAACTCCCCAGTACTTGAATCTCCCGCGATGGTTGTGACTGACGCACAGAGCGATGCACTAACCCTCTTCAGTCCACACGCTTCATAACCTTGGGTAACCTGCAACAAACAAGTCATCGGTTAGAATTGCACAGCATTGCCAAGCACTCCAGGGTACTTTTATTTCTTTGAATAACTGAATATGGTGATTGAACGTAAAGTGCATAAAGTAGTGAAAGTTGAACGTATGTGATTAGGCAGAAGATGCAATGATGCAATGAACAAGAGAGATGCGCACAAGAAAGTCCAATTCGCATATACCGATTTAAGCAAACAATGTTTCGCACCAGGGAACGTTCAAAGCATGAACTTAACGATTGACTAAAACGAAGCTTGAGCACACAAAGCATATAACGGACGGATTATAGCAGACTGCGCTGCAATATGGCAAAGAGACGTGTATGGCAACAGGCAAATAGTGAGCACACATAGGCGCATCGGACACTCGCTTGCAAGACAGGTTTATCCGATTGAGTAACTCGCGGGTTAGTTAGTCGCGGTCGGGGCCCCGCACTCGCGCGGTAGGACCCATTCACTGATCGAAATCGGGCGTCATTTGTCACTGTCAAGAACGTGGCGATAGCGAGCATTCCTTCATTGAGAACGATTTTCATTTTCAGAGCGTGGGCAACGAGCAAACAGTGACGACACTCACCTATAAAGGGATGGTCCAGCCGAGGAGGAGCAGCTCACACCGGGGACACATATCCCCCGTTCATTGTTTGTGGACTACTGGAACAAGATGAAGAACAAAAACGTAAGTAAAATCGTAACGGACATCACATTGACCATTGCTCCGTTCGTAGAATGGCCGGACTTACCTCTTATAGAAAGGTTTAAAGGCTGCATTGTCCCCATTCGGCGCGGACATTTGACCCTGCGGCGGTTGAGCCCCTCGCTGAGGTGAGTGTAATCTGCCAAAGCTACCAAGGAAACCACTCTGGGCATAACCTCCGTTTAGGTGAGGCGGTTGGGGTACTGGTGCGCCACCAATACATCCTTGCATTTGTGCACCCGCGACTACGCTATTCGGGAGCTTCATGCTCGGCGGGGTTTGAGGGGGTGTGTCGGTTTGGAGGTCAGGAAAACCCTGCTGGCAATGTCCGGGTAGGAAGCCGCCAGATGAGCCGTATCGCGAGCTCGGTAACACAAATCCGTTGCTGTGGTGCTGCCAATGGTGTTGTGCAGACGGTGGTGGAGGTGGCGGTGTTTTGCACGCGGCTGTATCGGCCAATGACCAAATTTTAGGTTTAGACGGCGGGAGCGGCACGCCGCAGTCGGAGGTCTTCATCTCCGGCTTCATGCCAAAATGTGTGTTGCTAAGGATATGGTGCATGTGATTGCCGAGCAGGTCGTCTTTGCGGTCGTCGTCGGTCATGTCATCGTCGTCCATGTCTTTGACGCTGCGCTCGGCCTTCACGCGACCGTGTATGTCTGCAACAGGGAGATAGAATTGAAAACGTGCATTCTGCGGATGTGCACAAGAACTCTCCCCCGGTTGGGATCGCGACATCGGAGGCGGTGAGAGAAAGGGCGCCTGTACGAGCAATTTCGGTCTCGACTATCAATGTCAGATCTCTGAGACCGAAGGGCGGGAGCTAAACGCACGGATGCGGTATCTTCACTTTGGTTCTATAAGCATTAACTGCTGATCCGATTAAATTCGATGGGGGACTTAATGTGCGCAACACCCCGACGTGCCATTTAACAGACGGCGGAGAAACGACTCTTTTATAAGTCGTAATGGAATGAAAGCGCGCGCTCGCTCAGCAACAAGAGGCGGGGAGAACCGTGCAGTAACGATTCGCATTAGGGCCTAATTCCGTTTCCATCATGTACGCTGCACATTATTGTACGCGAATACCGTCTCACTTGCGCAGAGATCCACGTACCGAGCGTAATGTTGTTAGTAACAAGTAGATGATGTATGAAGCGTGTTTGGATTTCGGATAAAACAAACATTAGGAAAGGAGGGCTGAACGCGCGGGTACGCCAGCGCCCGCAAAACTTATGAGAACACAAGAAAACAAACAGAACGTGAAGAGAAAAGTGCAGAATGTAAATTATGATGACATGGTGGTACAATGCTGCTGAGTATCAAAAAATCGTGTCAGCGAACAAATTCCTACCTGTGTCGTCGCGCTTGTCGTCGTCGTCCTTGTCCTTGTCGTCGCTGTCAGAAACCAGCGCGTCGTCGTCGTCGTCCGTCTTGTTCTTCGGCTCCCACGTCATCTTGTTTTCCTTCTTGAGTCGTCTCCGCGCGTTTGCAAACCACGTCGACACTTGCGTCAGCGTCATTTTGGTGATAATCGCCAGCATGATCTTCTCGCCCTTTGTTGGATATGGGTTTTTCTTGTGTTCGTTTAACCATGCCTTGAGCGTGGCGGTGGATTCCCGTGTAGCGTTCTTGCGACGTGCTGCCAGGTCATAACCGGCGCCATAACTAGAAGAAAACCAAATAAATTAGTCAACTTGTTTGCTAAACGATAGCACTTTGCCAGGTTCATAAAAATAACTTAAAGCAACTACGCGCTTCACTAAAATTAAAATTAACGTCGTGATTTAATCGATACGTCAATTGCAAAAGCAGAGTTATTTTTTTTGCAAAGCCCAGCTTTGCTCTACCCTATTAAATCGTAAGTGTTTGCACACAGGCCGCCCCTTTTTGATGACTCTTTGATAGTGATGTACGTACTTCGCAACATATGTGTCTATTGACTAGTATCGAAGAGAGATCTGGAGAGAGTATAAAGAACTATTAAATTTGATACAGCTCCCGTATTCTCTGACTCTCCCACAGTATTCCGCTTTCTTTTCTGCGAAACTGTCAGTCCGTTTCGGTGCGTTGGCTCCCTCGGCGTGCGGGCGAGATGTGGGCTCCCCCAGAGCAAGATTTGATTAGGGCTAGAGTGGTTTCACCCCTGTTAAGCGCGCCAGTCTCGCCACACCGCACGCCGCCGCGGCCGCCTCAATAGAAAGACAAGAGAAAGGCGGCCGAGACGACGTCGATAAAACGCCACGAGAAAATAAAGCTTTTTTTGCCGTGCTTCCCTTACGCGGGATTTCCAATTTTTCTCCACTTTATTGATATATACTTTGGCTATGTGTAGGAGCACAAAACGAGGGAACGATTGGTTCCGCCTTGTCCGCTTCCATTCCGCAACTTCAATCTCAGCTATTTTTCACCGTCCTGCTAACACGAAGCGACGGCATGCTATCTCTATATTCTTATATTTCTTGTATACCAGGTTTGTGAATTTTATGTAGGCTTCATAAATATTTTAGTGCCATTAGGTACGTTATGAAAAATGTCAAAACTTAAAATTATTAAAATTTGTCTAACTTGGTTTACCTGATCTGAAGATCAGAAATTTTGATTTTGATTCAGATTATAAACAAAAACTAAATTAAAGAGTTTTGGTCTTGTTCAGAACGATTCCAAAAAACGCAAAATTTATGTAGGTATGCATGACGCTTCCCGAAACGAAGCCGGGATGGTGCTGTAAGCGGAACCGATTTTATCGACAATAAATACAAATGGTGCATTGCGATGTGTGGCTGGCTGGCGCGAGCAGCGAGGCAGGCATGGCAGCGTCGGCGAGCGCGCATATACATTCCGCGCCGCCACCACCTGCGCCGCGACGCCGCAACGGCGGCGCGCCAATCAATAGCACAACCCTCTTCAGCCATTTTGTCTTGAAGCCATTTCGAGGCAGGAATTAGCCCACAATGCGTCGCCGCGATTTCTTTCTCATCGTGATTTACGATTTTCCCCACCGTTTCTCGTTTTTCGCTGGCTACCTGATTTTATTACATTAAGTTGCGTGTCATCCTTCAATCGCCGCATCAGCACATTCACCGCGGGATTTTTTTTCGTAATGGAAGTATATTTTTGACATTGACTTACCCATATGCCGCCAACGCTGGGTCGTAGGGGTAGTATCCTGTGGTCGGTTGAAGACCGGCGCTAGTCCACGCCGACATGTCGGCCGCAGTGCCGCCCGCGTCCTTCAACGCGTAGGGATTGCTCTGCAACAACAACGAGAGAAAACGCATAAACATAATGTCGCACACAGTAATGGGACTTTAATGTAATGGATTTCGGGCACTCACTCTCCCAGTCGAGAGTCGGAGTCTGAAAAGCAGTGCAACATCAAAAAATCTTGCCTACGTGAAACCACCGCCGGGTGGAGTGGCGAGGGAGGTCTACGTTTTATGTCATTTCGGTGTGCGTGGCAGGAGTAGTATATGAATGTGAGTGTGTGGATACCGCATGAATGTTGGAAAAAGTTCCCCGCCAAGCGACTCATTGTCCTGCAATACCGCGCCATGCCGCGCGCTTCTCACGGCCCAAAATCAGCATCCTGGATCGATTCTGACATTTCGTTGTTTCCAAACTTTAGCCGGCGCTTGACTACCAAGTATTTTCGACTCGTGTGCGTTCATTTAATTGCACCCGGTTCCTTTTGGCGTACTTAACGGCCATTATATCAAACATAAACATGTTAAACTCGCATACACTAATAAAATAAATGGTTGTTAACAAAAACATATATAAAATTCTCCTGTTGTTTTTATGGATTCATTACGGCGGGGAAACGACGATGGCGCGACGAAGACGATGCTCGTTTATGCGTTGTGAGAGAGGTGCGAGAACCGCGAGTGAATTAGCGCAAGAGAAACACAAGACACGCTGATAGTCGATGAGTCCGAGGTGAACGAAATATTTATACATTTAACCGCATAAAGCGCCTTAAAATCTTTATAACTACTAAAACATTTCCCTCGGCTCTTGGCTTTTCGATAGCATCTGCGCTACCCACGGCGACGATGTCTGACCATCCTCGCGACTTGCGACCAGCAAACAAACACACAAGCGCGACAACAACAACAACGCATCCGACGACGACTAATCTTTGCTCATTTATTATTATAGGATACTTTATTTATCAAAACGATGTGAATGTAATGTGAAATGTACGAGCGTTCACATTACCAAGGATTACGAGTATAAGGCACTGTTGGCAATCGGGCAATCAAATCGTTTAAAAAAACATTTTATAATCTCTCTTTAATTAACACCTCTATTATCGTATAACGACAATGCGAACGTCGCGGTCGTGAGAGAGCACCTCAAAATATCAATTCTTGGCACATAAACAATAAAGCAAACAATGCATTCGAAAGCGATGCTATGACTGAAAATTGAATATCGAAGGCGCAACAATTGATACAATTTTAATTAACATCTCAGTCTGACGCTCATGACTAAAACGAGCTTCGATACTTTTGTTCCAGCTGTGTGACACAGGTAGGCGTGTGCAGCGAATCGTGAACATCCGTTTTTGATGGAACGCATATGATTTCGAAACCCACTCTGCTCTGCGTTCGCTCTCCTGGTCCGGCTCGAGCTTGAGAAAAGCCCAAGTGTTGCCATTGTGGCCGGGACACTTCGCACACTCGGTCCCGGAAACCCGAGCGCTTGGTGACTCGGGCTGGCTTCACTTTCCTCTTCGCGCCCTGCGCCGCACTCAGCCATGAAGCTGTGAGTATCGCTCGTTCACTTAACTCGCTATATATTTATTCAGCGACCGTAAATCTTAACGGGAGGCAGCAGCTCGAGCCAAAAAGCTATATACAGCACGAGAGGCGGCGGCCCTGGAGTTTTAGACTGGAAGCTGTGAGCGTAAGCGGTAAGTGGAAATAAGAGCACCGAGAGCAATGCCTTATACGAGGGGTGCTGGAAGCAAGCGGCTGGAGAAAGAGCCGCAGGGGAGCGAATCTCAATGCCAGCAGAAGATGGATTGGGGGTTTCACGCGTTGCGCCCGGCTCCCGGCGCCCCATAAAAAACGCTCATTTCTAACCGCGGCTCCACTAAATTACCGCCGCATTATCCGACAGTAAACACCAGTCAATTGATAGTGTAATTGAAAGCACTTCCTTAAACCAAACCCAACAGAAAAAAAGCAACTTGTTGAAGAGAGCCCCAGCAGCTCCATTTTTTATGTGCTCGATTATTGTTATTATCAGCGGTAACGACTGTTTTCAGAGACTTCTATTCCAAGTGCTTGGTAATGCTTCACCGAGTTCTTTGCAGCAAAGAAGCGTCAACACCCTGACGGCATAAACAAAGTCCAATCCGATTACAATTGACGTAAATACTTATAGGTAATCAAATGAATTAACATTTTTTCATTACCGTAAAACAAGTATCCCACATATTTGGATGAGCTTATGCGTTGAACCGCCATTTTGTTGTAAGCCTTGCCGAAATAAGTCACGAGTGCAATGGCAGCGCTATTTGTTTTGCATATCGCAACGTGTCGCCTCCTTATCAGAATCAACGTTCGAACACCCTTAGCTAATAATTTGTCATCGATAATAGCGCCTGTTATTGCGAGGTGATTACATGCCGACAAAGGCGAGTGCAATCACGACGACACTCGTGCACACACCGGTGATAACGTGCTCTCTTGAGTTTTCAAGATAGCGGTGCGCTTCTACGTTCCGAAATCCCAAGCGCGGAGTGCGTACCATCCTAGCAAATGTACACACAACGATGTAGGTACAATTGTACAACATCGATGTGTCTACATTAAAAAATGTTTGTTTGGCAGATTGGAATATCCGTGAGACACAACCTAACACACTCGTGCATAGACCGATTGAAAACTTGTTTGACAAATTAAACAAACAGCGGCTTGTTGTAAAAAAGTCTCGCGCCGTGTTGCAAACATGCGACAGTGCTTATTATAATTTATCTACGCAAGAGATGTTACATTTACCATTAACGAAATCTGAAATCTCCACAAAAACACAAATAGTAACCTATTCATAGAAGTAAGACTCGCTCGAATTTTATTGATTGTGACTTTCCATTTAGTATTGCTCGAGTATTGGGCGTTTGTTGTATGTATTTACGTACTTAAATACCAATACTGTGTTTTCTAAAAGGCCCGTGAACATAAATATTTATTAATTTAATCGAACGGTTTCGTGCGGATTCGAAAGACGGCCTTCTGTTATTTATCGACTGTGTTATGTCGTCGCCTGGCTGGTTCATATTATATTAGCCACCAAGCAGCAATTTGTAGTCCTTGTTTTGCGATACATATAGGGAAATTGAAGACACCTTGCTTGCATCGTTTACTGTGGCAAACGCGCAGGCAGCTTTTCTTCTTTAAAAGGCGAAAAATACAAAAATATACTAGGCTGCGACGCCTTACAAAATGCGGCTTTAACGCCGCATGAAAATCGTGTGCGGAATAATCGATAGTACATTTGCCCCAGCCTCTTCTCCGGCACATGGCCATAAGATTTCAGGTTCGCTTTGTAAAGGTGTTTGGGAACTGCATATTTATGTTAATTCCCCGACTTCGGCACACCGGCCCTCGGCAATGTGACGTGACCACGTCGAAAAATTTGCGGCTAATGAGATAACGCTTCCCGTATTGTTTCGCGCGCCGTGCGAAAATCGCACACAACAAAAACCATATTCAAATATTTGCACTCTGCGGAATGCCTGCCGGTGTCGGCGTAAATCAATGGCAGGGTTAATTAAATTTATTTGCCATGCGTGCGTGTGTGCCAGATCCGAATGCCTTTTGACAAAGATCGGTGGTGATCTGTCGCCGCTACGCGCATCTGGAGTGTGCGGAATGCATGAAGTGGATTTTTATTGTCATGGCGAGAAATCTTAGGCAAAGGAGCCCACAACGCTTCATAACAATACGTTTTTCATTCTATGAGCAGGTTGATGGCCAACGATAACGGATAGCGCGCATAGTAAAGTAGATATATCATGACCGCGAATGCGTGATCGTCCCACAGTGGATTTTTGTGACTTTCTCTCTTATGCGAGCACATTCGCAGGCTTTTCGTCGCATCGAATGTCATAAAGTTCCATTGCAAACCTACTCCTACATTCATGATAAATCTATTCCAAAGATGGAGTAATATTATTGAAAATGACTTTTTGGAGATGTATTTTGTATTTTGTCAAAGATCGTTGGAAGTTATTTAGAAAGGTAATATAAAGTATCAAAAATTTAGGAGTTATTCAAAATATGATATTATTTCTACTCTATTATTTATTTGTAAATCCATCGTGCATTTCCACATCACTCGACTGAATTTCAACTAACAAGGTAGTCACTAATAAAATAATATATAAAATTACCGTTAATTGGTAATGAAACGAGCGAGTGACTACCCTATAATTAATCATTTACTACCCTTTCGACAGAAATTTCGGTCGAAACCTTACTTAGCCAATGCATGATCGTCCTTGCAAAGGATGCGACAGGGAAACGCAGAAAACGGCCCCGAAACAGCATCAACGGTAATCGGGGAAGAGTTAATTACACGCCGTTTCGATCCACGAACAAATAACTAAACGCAGAGTTAACATGAGAGCGACGCTACGCGACGAAGATCCAAACGGCTGATGTCAATCGTTAACCTCATTGCGGCTTTATTTAAATTAATTAATTAACGATAATCGAATAGTGTTTACATTTGAATTGAATATTGCCAGCAGGCAGCTATAGCAGACAATCACCGCCTCGACTCACAGCAAGCCGCAGCAACATTTGCTTGAGATTTTATTGCGATTACAGACGACGCTCTCTCGGCTTATACGAGTTAAAATTGTATTGTGATATTATTGCCTCTTATTTACGAGATAAATATATCGTATGGATAATTATGTCTCCACGGGCAAGATGCGATTGTGCGCTCGCGCGCAAAGAACGCATACTACCAGCAGTTATAAAGATCTAACGATTAGAAAATGCAAAACCTATTTGTGTAGGTCGAAATAGTAATTGAACAAATTATTATTATTAGCCCATGGCACATAAAATAAAACAACCCACTGGGTAACTGCCATCTATCAAAAGTATTGTAATACTCAAATATCAATCAAAGTTGTCACAATATCAAATCATCCAGCAATTTGCAGCTTTTCTCACTATATTAGCAACCTCAAAATACTAATTATATAGTGGCAAGTCAACAGTACACATAGTTAAATAATGACACCCTATTTGATTATAGCTCTTAAATTTGCTCATTGCACGCTTGCCAAGCGATATCCGCAGTCTCACATGCATTTGACACTCCGCGTATTATTACAGACCACGCATCGAAGAGGAAAAGTGAGTCGAGCTACTAAATAAACCTAATGAAATCTATACGTACCAGGGGTGAATAGAACGCGGAGCTTTCCACGCCTATGCTCGGATAGGGGTTCTGATCGGTCGAAGGGTATGGTGTGCCATAGACGCCAACACTTCGCGGATATTGCAATGCCGCCAGGCGTGCGGAGTCGTATTGGCAGGAGCAGACGCTCTGGCCGGTTACCGGATCGGTGACTAGTGGCCGTCCCGATTCGCAGCATTGTGTCGGACCGGAACTGGATGTGCCGCCGGGCGAAAGTGCCCCCGGCACACCAGCGGATCCACCCGGGCTGAGCGAGCCGCCGCCGGACGCTGGTGACGAGCCTGCGTTTGTCGTTGGTTGACCAGACACCAACAACTAAAAGAAACAATAAATTTTGTTAGTAAATTTGTCAGATTTGGAAAGCTTGCCTTTCTAACACGAATATTTGGACGGGTATTAAACAATCATTGACATTTTCTTCATTGCAAAGAAACGAGAAAATAAGAAGAGAAAACTGCACGTTGTACGAAACGCGTGCACCGTTTCCATTTCCTTTTTCATATTTGTTTTGCTCGTTTTTCCACGGTTTCAACGAGCTGCGCGGCGAAATAACGAAATAATCGCTCGCAAATTGCACAACTGAAAATCACCCAAGTGCTGTGTCAATGTTTACCATACTCTTGCCCGCCACACTGTGCACACACGTGGCCTGATGACTGCTCGGCCGCAGCAACGCTACACTAGTTGAAAACACCGAATGCTGAAAGCCGAAAGCTAATTACGCTCCGCTTTAATGTTTTCCGCGAAAATTGATATGTCGATACGGCGGCGCGATCAATACGGCCACACGTAACATTTCAAATGTTTCGTGAAAGACGGTCAACACTAGTCTACCTACATTTGTAGCTAGATGATAGCACAAGATGCCAAAAGGAAAGTTCTGTGATTCACAATTAAGGTAAGATAAAATAGTTGGTATGAATTGATTGCTAGAAAATAATGCGTGTAATGATAATTGCAATTGTGCGAATTTGTGTTGTAATTGCTTTGCGAATTATTTACTGGCTAAACACAGCGAATTCTGACATCTACGGTAAAACTTAGCCTTACTCAAAATGCTCACAGTCATCGGTATTTTTTCAAGAGAAAACTGATGGTAATATTCCATTCGAATATCAAATAAATCCGAGTGTCTTATCAATCTCGGTTTTCGATTATAAATCACAGCTTATTAGACTTTGCAAGTTCGATTAAACACGTTTGGATCACATTGATTTATACGAGAACTTATTCTCATATAAATTCATGAAATGAACTCTGGATACGCTTATGATTGATGTGGAACTGTGTCCGACGGCTACCGATTTAGGTGTGATCTCAAAACTAGGGTATTACGCACGTAAAACGTTTATTGAAATGAGTAGGCATATTAGTGTAACTAATTATTACCTGTGCTGGTGCAGGATATGAATAACCAAATTGTGCGTACGCAGCCATTGTCTTTGATCACAAATATAAAAAGTCCAGGATGGCGTCCCAATTTAAAAAACGTTTGTTTATCACAGATTTAAACACAACACAAACAACGAAAGGTAAAGATGATGCACAGTTAATCGCTAATTATTCACTAACACCAACTTCATGTCCACGGGGTTGCACACCCTCTGCGTGTGAACATCGATCTCGCGCACGACTATCTCGCGCTTCGTGGAGTGGGCAGGGTTTTATGAATGAAACTCTGCGAAAAAGCGTGTTTGGGTTAGCTATTAGAAGTGCGCAGCGAGACGGCCCAACAGTAACTGGTCTATCTCGGTGGACGAGCGCCACGACGGGAAGTGGGCAAACCGCTTCCCTCACGACCACGCGCGGGCGTGGCGAGTCACAAGATCAACCTGTTGGAACCCGATGTAGGGGAAGTCGAAGCGCCAATTCAACGCTCACATTGGTCCCCCACCGCTAGAAACGGAAGTCAGCAGCCTGGTGGGCGGGTTACCACCTTCCGGTAGGTGGGGCCTGACACGCGGATCAAGCGTCTTCGTGTTTACGCGCGCCCTACGGAGTAAACCCGAACAAATCCCACTTCGACTCTTGGCGTGCTCGGCACGAAAAGTTTAACCGAATTTATTGGATACAAGGTGTTTGCCTGAATGAATCGCTCCGACGTCATTTGTATTCTGATTCGGACGAATGATGCTTCGCTTTTAACACGAAAACCCACTTTGCACCTCTAGTTTCTTGTATTTTTTTCCTGTTGCTTGCTTATATTGTCACACGTGTCTTCGCTGGGCACTAAAGATATGAGTGCGCGTCTCGAACACGAATGCATATCGTTCCGTGGAGATATGTTTATTAAATGGACAACGTATAAAATTTAACAGGTGCGATAAAAATGCGTTCGACAATTGTGTTTAAGTTAAGGGGCTCTGTTCGAGCTTGCGTTATCCGAGCGTTGTTGAATTAAGTTTTAATTTGTGCATATTCATGAAATATGTCCCTACCCGTATTATGAATTAATATAATTCTGGTGTCACATGCCATGTGGCATTTTCAGTGCTAGAATAGAATAGAATCTCAAAACAACACTCTTATAATTAAGTTCAATTTTTAAGCAACAAATCGCATTCTAGATGCATAGGAAGAAACTGGTCATCAAGTTGACATTGCATAATTTATAATTTTCTTGTAACACATCCCGAAAATACCCAGATGCTCCACGTCGAACATTTTTAATATCCATATATAATCCATGGTTTGTAAATCCGAGATTCATGGAATTCACTAATCGTTTTACGGAACTCATTTCCTTGTTCCACATTGTCAGCCTCATGTACAACAGCGCAACACTGATCCTGACACGCGATTAATAAAAGACAATAATTAGTCAAGTTATTAGTAGAGTTAAAGGAATGCGCTTTTCTTTAGGTGACATGCGCACACAGAGGATTACATAGCACACGGGGAATAACCGAATTTAGTTTTTCTTCTGGCAAGGTTATTCATTCAATAGTAGGTATGAATGCAAAGTTTCTTTGGTCAAAAGTTAATACCGGATGGATTTGTCTAATCTTTATTCGATGTTATTAATGAGCGGTTCGTTCGCTTTTCGAACTATTTAACTTAATCATTGTTTAACAGCGTGTGGCGTTGTATTCTTAACCCTCCGGGGGGTAGTTCCACGCCATTCATAATGCACGCCAGCGCCAGCCTAGTGCGCTGTAGTTTGTCATTTAGAATTCCAATCATTGCTTTCTCATCGTCCTTTTCACTTGCTCAGGAGGCTATTCTTGACTTAGTGGTATTTCCCGTACTTAGTGCCTTTCACGCATAGCTCAACTTTCAGTGACTAAACTATTCATTGTACAGCAGCCTACAGGGCTGGTAGGCTGCGTGTGCACTTGACTTCATATTGCTCTCCGGAGCGCTGAAAGCCAAGACAAGGCTCGCCAGGTAAAAATCGTCTGGCGCCGTCGGAAGTTAGATGTGAAGATACTTCTCGATGGACACACATTGCAACGAAATGATTCATGCATACAATCCTCATCATATTGCGTATAATGTTAAATCATACCACGTTTATATCTGTTTGGTAATATTTTATTAGTTTTTATTTTATTTCAGCGTCTGGAGATGTACCTATCAACCGTCGCCGTAGCGCCATGCATATAAAATTTGGTGGTCGCTTAAAACCTATTTAAAACCATTTATTTTATTAACTCGCCAGTTAACACGGTCATAACGTGCTTTTATGCCTTTTTACGTTTATGTTTACGTTATATTTTTTCCCTTCACGTTCGATAATAGGGTTGCAGCCTGCCTAGTTGATCGTCACAAGTCAGAAAGTCAAATACTCACGGCTCGTTTGGATATTTTACGTTCTACGGCGTTTACGATTTAAGCATTTTTATAATTTTATTATCTGACGGTAGTTTCGGGCGCCCCGACTTTTTTTTTAGTAATGTTTATTGTGTGGATGTGGAAAGATGCGCCACGTATAGCTATCAGTCATTATCGTGTAATAAACGTAATTGTTGTTTTATTTCGAGGGATATTTATGAAGGTAAAACAAATATTTAAACAAGCGTTAACTGCGGAGACCTTTGACAGAAAGTATTTTATTATTTTTGACTGAAAAAAGACTATTACTTCACAGATGTAGGTAAGCGAAAAAAGTAAGTAGGTAATTAATTTTCATTCTTGATCAAATTAATTCTTTGTTTTTCTTATTTTCGCTTAGTTCGTCAGTGTAATTATCAAAATGTATAACAACTACGTACGAGGATAATTAATAAGATCCGATGGCTATAATTCGGTCAAACTTGATGTGCCTTCGCTTAATTAGGCAAAACAAACAACATTACGCAAAAGGCGGCAATTAAAATCGCATAATACGCATGATGAATTGTAAGCTGCCAACTTCCGACTTCCACGCGAACAGCAAACCATTTTAAAGATGTAATTGATACGTTGCATGGATAAAAATAACTGTTTTCGTACAAAACCGCAATCAACTTTGACATAGCCAGAATATCCCTACCTACAGATAATGACTAAATGCCCATGTGTCACACGGTTCGACGAACCTAATATTATACATTTATGTGTTAAGTACCTACGTCTTTTCACTGACTCAAATGTGTGCTGGTGCTACCGGCTAAACAGAAAAAAAAAACATGAGAGAGCGTGCCTCAAGCTGCAGGAATAGAACCCCTCATTATTTTTAAACCAGCGCCAGCCTAAGACAGAAGAGACACGTCGGGTCGCGCCAAGGCGACAGGTGCGCCAATGGTCACTTTATTTAATACATTTTTTAAAATTACATCTTCGCTGGCACGGAACGCGTATGAAAGGTTTTTTTAAAAGCTCCTCTTCATTATGTTTATGCACACGCGGCCTGTCTGGCGTGTGAGCGAAGCGTTTAGAGGGTCATTCCTCATCTAGAAAACCCGGCCGGCTAATACTGTTATGATAAACTAAACTGTTAAGACATAATAAATCATTAAACGTTATATCATTTTTATACTTCCTATATCTAATATTATGACAGCAGTTGGAATAATTACTGGCGTGGCGCGGTGCCGACACAATGTGGTCGCCATTAAATCGCATTTTCGTTTAATATCAACTCAACCACTCTTTTCAGACGCTAAGAACCGCATGTGGGTTCTTGTACATATTATATATGTTTGTGCGTTGCGAATGTTTAAGCGTACAGTGAAAGGCATTGTTTTGATTTTCTACGCGCGGGGATATCAATCAAATGTAATCGATTCGACGTGTAGGTAATGTATTGTTATGTCAAGCCGGGCTTTTTTTTTTGCTTAAACAAACAAGCGTTTGTGTCGCGTATTTTATACGTGTATGACAATGTTGCTCAC